GAGCGACCAGAGCACCATGACTACAGGCGCCCTCCTGCCCGTGGACGGGGGGTTCCTCGCCTCTTAGGCCAGGTGCTGCTGGCACCCCTGGGCCAGGCCCCTGCCCCCACCCCCAGCTTTCACAGCGTAGTAGCACGAGCGATGGCGACCCCTGAGCCTCAGGAGAGATGGGGTGGGCACCAGCAGGGCAGGGACCTGCAGGCTGATGCCACATCTGGCCTCTCCCCGCACGTGGGAACGAAGCAGCCGCACTCCTCCATGGAGAATGTTTATTGTACCAAATAAGGCGTCGTCTTGTCACTCTACATGATGATCAGAAATGGGACCCGTCCGCTCGCCCCCCCACCCCACTGCGCCCCACACCCTCCGCCGCGGGGATGGGGAGATGCTCCCAGACTCACTGCCTCCCACTGGGCTTTGGATAGGAAAGACAGAGGCTCCAACCTCAGCCCTGCCCTGCAGAGACCGGGTGGGCGTGGGAGGCAGGCCTTGTGGAGCACCCTGTGGCGCCCGTGCCCGGTGGATGGTGCGGGGCTGTTTCGCTTAGTCCCGCTAGCGTGTAGCACCCAATAAAGCACCTCATAGCTCGTTCTCCAGCCTCTGGGCTCCCATCTGTCCTCGCCCTGCCCAGGGCCGTCGCTGGGTTCCCACCACCGTGGTTGGCACATCTCAGCTCTTGCACCAGCCTGGCCAGGACCAGCCACAGCGGGCTGGGGGAAGAAGCCCTGCTCCCCAGGTGGTGCTTCTCCTGGGGAGCAGGTGTCTCAGCCCCTCCCGGGCATGGAGTCAGAGAGCCCCGCGGCCCAGGGAGCTGCCCTGCCCTGCCCTGCCCGCCTGCCAGGGGCTGCGCCGCCCCCCTGCTCACTTCCCGCCCCCACTGCCCCTTCACATCAACACTGACGTTAACTCAAGAGACATTAAAAAACACTGACTTCGTACATGATGAAGGGCCCCGCACATCGCAGCCCCCGCGGCTGGGCCAGGCTAGCCCGCGCCGCGCCCTCAGAACACCGTGCACTTCTTGCCGGGCTTCTTGACGGGCGGCGGGCAGAGCACGGCACGAATGGCCTCGTCGAACACCGTCTTCAGGCCCCGCTGCGTCAGGGCCGAGCACTCCAGGTACTTCACGGACCCTGCGAGCAGAGAGCTCCAGCTCAAGCACACGCCCAGCCAGGGCCCCGTGCCACCGCTGCCCCCACCTCTGCACCAGGTGCCCCTGCCATACCGATCTCCCGCGCCATGGCCAAGCCCTGAGGGTAGGTGATGGGGGCCAGCTTCTTATCCCGCAGCCGCTCGATGGTGTCCTTGTCATCCCGCAAGTCCAGCTTGGTGCCCACCAGGATGATGGGCGTGTTGGGGCAGTGGTGCCGGACCTCTGGGTACCACTGAAACAGAAGGGCCCAGTGAGATACGGCAGAAGCAGCCACGAGGACGCTGCGAGGCACAGCTGGCCAGGGCACGGGAGACGCAGGCATGCAGGGGGAGCCCGCACAGGGCACTGGCGACAGCTGGGGCACCTGCCTGCATGCAAAGCCCCGCAGCCTCCTTGGGCCCCAGCGGGCAGAGCTCGGAGGCCAGGCCAGGCCCCTCCCCAGCTGCTGGCTTTTGCGAAGGTGAGGAGGGACAAGCTTGTGCTGGCAGCGCCGATCATGGCCCACACGTACGCCCGCGAGCCCTGGGTCCACCCCTGCCTCCCGGGTCAGGGGTCCGTGCTGGCTCCTGCCCGTCCCCAGCGGGCAGCGCGTTACCTTGGCGCGGACGTTCTCGAAGGAGGCCGGGCTCACCAGGGAGAAGCAGATCAAGAACACGTCCTGCAGAGGGGCAGGCAGGAGTCAGGCAGCAGCCGCCAGGAGCGCAGGTGGCGAGACACCCCTCACCCAGTAAAGGGCTCAGAATAACTCAGAGGGATCAGCCGTGGGCGGGTGGCATTGCCCGGACGTGGATCCGAGGGCACCGCGCTGCGCCCCCTGCCCCGAGCACCAGGTGCCGAGCAGTTCCCCGCCCCGCGGCCCAGGCCGGAGCCAGGGAGCTCCCAGCGCAGCCTGGCCACGGCCACGGCCACGGCCCTGCGGTCCCTGCGCAGGGATCAGGAGCAAACCGCGCACTCACGGTCTGGGGGTAGGAGAGGGGCCGCAGCCGGTCGTAGTCCTCCTGCCCGGCCGTGTCCCAGAGCCCCAGGTTCACCGGCTTCCCGTCCACCATCACGTTGGCGGAGTAATTATCGAACCTGCGGGCACAGGGCGGTGCGGTCGGG